GCGGCGGGGGTGGAGGGGCAGCCTGTGCCCGCTGGCGGCAATTGCTTCAGCCTGACTGCAGACGCGCCGTGTCAGGGCCTGGCGGCAGGGCCAGGAAACGACTGCTCTTCCTATGAAGTGGATTGTACCGCTCCGAGTCCAGCTCACCCGGCACCAGGCCCCGGTGGTCCCGCTGCCCCCATCTCTGGCCCACACGGCCCCACCATGCCCGTGCCCCCCACACCGCCTGGAGGGGCCAGGCTGGGGCAGCCGCAGCCTGGAAGACAAGGGCTAGGGCTGAACAAAGCTGGCTGGTTAGTATTCTGCGCACAGCCCAGCCCAGCCGCCCACGCTGCAGAGGCCCCCGTCCCCGTGGTCCCGGAGGTGCCTGGGCCGGGGGACAGGAGCTGCCGGCAGGTGGAGGAGCCGTGCCGCCCCCCAGCCGCCCCCCCGGGCCTGTCGCAGGGGCGGCCTCGTCCTCCTGCGCAAACAGCTGCTGCCCTGCAACCCAGCCCTGCCTGAGCCCACCCTGCCCCACAAGCCGGAGCGCCACGCGTGGGCTGCCTGCCGTGACACGCAGGAACACGCGGCAGGAGCAGGCCCTGCCCCCGACCCAGGCCTATGGCAGATCCCAGCCCTGGCACTGCTGCCCTGAGCTGACACAGGCAGCGCTGCGATGCGCACACGCTAACGAGCGGAGGCGCCGCCAGGGCTGCAGCCTCCCCCTGGCTTCAGCCATCTCCGAGCGCTCACGGCAGACGGGGACCAGACAGTGACTCAGCAGAGCGACGGTGCTATCGCTAGTGACGCAGGCCCTCGTGCAGCTCCCGACACGGAGGGCGGCAGGGCCAGCGTGTGGCACGGCACTACTGGTCCCTCCTGCACCTTCCCCGGAGCTGCGGGCTGCAGGGCGCAGTGCAGCTTGGCTCCCCAAGTAGGAGGAGCGCACATCGCTGCCTGCACAGGGGGCGCGTGGGAAGGCTGCCTGGTCCCTGGGGTGCTCAGGCCACCGTCTGGCCACCCCTGAGGAAGCCTCATCCCGCGCAGTGGATACCAGCCCCACAGCCCTGGCACCAGTGTCCTTCCGCAGGCGTCCCTGCCCAGCCCCCTACGCACGAGGACTCGGGCCTTGCACACAACTGGGCACTACGCCTGGAGCCGCATCTCGGTGCTGGCAGCCAGGGGCCCGGCCCAGCCTGGCCTGTCAGCGGCAGCAGAAGAGGTGCTGTGTGAGAGCGTGGCCCAGAGAAGTGGCCCAGAGCGCCTCCAGCCTGGCCACAGAGGGCATGAGTCTGCCCCCACGGCTGAGTGCCAAGTGCCCCTTCTGTGCACCGCCACCCTCTGCGTGACTGCGGGACCCACTGGGCACATGCCCTGCCCCTGCTGGTGCTCTCTGTGTGGGGCCGAGTGCTGCAGGGAGGTCCAGGGGGATGAGGCTCGGTCCTGAGCTGGCCAAGCCTGCCCCGGCCCCATGCTTTGGGCCCCACTGTCCAGCAGGGAGCTGGGGCAGTGAAGCCCGGCACCTCCTCCCAGGGAAAGGCCAAGGCAGGCTGTGCAAGGGCACACGCTCTCTGCCCCGGAGCCAGTATCCAGAGTCACACTTTTCAGACACCGGGTACAGCCCAAGCCGGGGCCCGTCCAGCTGCACAAGTGACCAGCAACGCGGAGCTGCTACAGAGGCTTCCACCTCCCCCGTGACAAACAGATTTGAAGCCTCTTTGGGGACCTTATGGTCAGTGCGACCCTGGTACCAAACCAACCGGAAATGAGCCAGTCCTTCGGTTTCACCAAAAGCAACAGCCCTGGGTGCTGGCACCTGTCAGGCTGAGCAGGACGCGTGGCACGACACACAGCACGTGCATTCCTCCCCGGCAGGCTGCAAGCGTGCCCGGCGCAGGGCCCCGTCACTGCACTGTGGCTTGTGGCAGACAACCCGCTCCTGAGGCATGTGGCTTCTTGCCACCACCCTGCCCCACGGCCACTCGCAGCTGCTTCCTGGAAGGCTCCACGCTGCCGTCGCTGGCTGCCAGCAACCACGTCACATGCAGGTGTTGTTCCCTCAGGGCTCGCTCCTTTCCCAGATCACTCGTACATTGAAGTGGTCCCAGGCGTGGCACCCCGAGGTGCCCACCAGTCACACCCACAGTGCCCCGGCCTCCTGTCTCCCAGGGGCACAGCACATGAGCAGGCCCTTGGCCGAGTACGGGGAGTGCCTGCACCAGCGTGTAATTCTAGCAGTTGCATCCAGCCTCCTGCGGGCTCCCGAAGGGCTCGGGACAATCTTGCGGGGGATCTGTCCTCTCTCGGGCAGCTTCTTGTGGGGCATTTGGCAGGCATTGATCCCTGTAACACCAGGGAACAGGGAGAAGGAGGGGAGACAGGGAACAGCTTCAGGGGAGGTGGAGATGTCTGTCACCTTCTGTGCATGTGCATGACTCAGTTTCCCCATCCTTGCTAGGCTGGTGCACACCGGTGGTGGTGAAGGTCACGTCTCTGTTCCAGGGGTCACAACGGCCATCTGGGTAGGTGCAAATGGGGCAGCACAGCTGTCCAGGGGCACACAGGGTCCTCAGTGGAACAGGGACGGACAAGGACAGGCCATTTGTTTCTAATGCCTGGAAGTGGTGAGGTGGTGAATGTGGGGACTAGCCTGATGGCAACTGGAAACAAAGGACCAAGATCCTGATGTCCTGGCCTGGGTGCCCTGGGCAGAGGGAGGGAGATTACGGCGCCAGGGCAGAGAGAGGGCTGGGAGGGAGGTCATTTGGGAAAGTGGCTGTGCCCTGCTATCGTGACTGCGGCGCCCCTTGGTTTCCGGTTGCCCAGTGGATGCCAGTTTGGTTTACGGAGCTTTCCAGCGCGGCTGCAAACTGCTGCTCGCAGCACAGCCCAAAGGGAACGTCGTTAACGCTTCTTTCTTACCTGCAAGGTGGGTCCTGTCCCAGAGAGGACATGCAAAGGGCACTGGCACAGTGCATCCGCACAGACATCACATCTGTGACATCAGCGCATGAGCGCAATGCTCTGACCCGCACAAACAGTCTCTAACAGCACCCAGGTCTCAGCTTTGCATCACCTGCACCACGGTGCCTGGACACAGCCTTGCCCAGGACGAGGCTCACAGAGGGCTCTGCCGCCAGCCGCGTTGCTTCCCACCCCGCCTGCTCCCAGGACCCTGTTCCTCCGATGGACAGAAACCTCCTGTCTTCCTGCCCGAGCCTGTGCGCGGCCAATTTACTCCCATTTGCTCCTGTCCAACAGTCCTTCAGCTTCAGCAGCTTGCTACAAACGTGGCTTTGTTTAGCGCTCTGAAGGCCAAGGGCAAAGTGGGTCCACGGTCCTCCCTGGCGACTGCTCCTGCTCCACCTGCAAGGCGGCTCCCATGCCACGTTCCTGTCACCTCCATAGCCCATGCTGCTCTGCTGCTGGCAGGTCCAAGGGCTGCATT